GACCTGTGAGAACACTTCCAGACAGAGGGAACTGAAGGCTCAAAGCAGAAGCGTCTAGAGAACGAGACCAGTGTTACTGGAGCCAACGGAAGAAGCCCTGAGGTTAGGTGAGAAAGGTATTTGGGTTTACTTGGAGATTTACGATGAGTTTGCCTGTAGTAGTAAGAGCGGCGAGGCTACGTTCCGGCACCCGGCCGCCCGCAAGGCTAGCTTTACCCGAAATAATTACACAGAAACTGTATTCTTTTAAACACTGCTTGGCCCATTATATCTAGCCTTTTCTCAGCTAACTCTCGCACCTGGACTAGCCCATTTCTTATAATCTGTGTAGCCCCTGAGCTGGCTTACCAGGAATGATCTTAACCTGCTTCTGCCTGGAGTGGGAGAATCATCGCGACTCACTGACTCAGCTTCTTTCTCCCAGCATTCTGTTCTGTTTACTCCTCCCACCTATGTTTTAACCTATGAGGACCAAGCAGTTTCTTTATTGCTTAACCAATGAGATCAACAGATTGATATATGACACTCCCACATCATTTGCCACCTCCTGTGAGGGAGAAGGGAAGCTGTTAAACATCTTGTCACTGGTTTCCTCTGGATCAGATGCAGGAGAATGGTACAACTGTGCCGGCAGCTAGAGTCTGAGAACAGTTCTTTTGTTATTGTTTTTCTTTTCTTTTTTTTTTTTTTTTTTTTGGTTTTTTTCGAGATAGTGTTTCTCTGTGGCTTTGGAGCCTGTCCTGGAACTAGCTCTTGTAGACCAGGCTGGTCTCGAACTCACAGAGATCCGCCTGCCTCTGCCTCCCGAGTGCTGGGATTATTGGCGTGCGCCACTACCGCCCGGCTTGTTATTGTTTTTCTACTAGGATGCTGAAGTCACACTGTGAGGGGATTGAGACTGAGAGAAGTCAGTGCTGTCATCACCCTGGCCCCTGGGATTTGGGGACAGCTATGTCGTGGACTGCCGCCTCAGCTTTGAGAAGAGAGTTCCCCAAGACTCTAGAAGAGGATCTAGGATATACCAAATAATGATCTCTCTTTAAAGATGCTAAGAACTAAAGGGGCAAATGAGCTCCATGGGAACCAGGGAACACTCCTAGGAGCCAGACTCCCAGCACCAGGCTAGTTAACCACCAGGTGACACTGGGAGGGGGGAGAGGCTTAGGTGCCAACTTTATTTCCTTCCAGCTGGGCCTCTGGCCTGAGCAAAGTGCCCCCCGAACCTCAGAATGTGGCATTATTTAGAATTTTTTTTTTTTCTCGAGACAGGGTTTCTCCGTAGCTTTGGAGTCCTGTTTTGGAGGTCTTGTAAACAAGGCTGGTCTCGAACTCACAGAGACCCACCTGCCTCTGCCTCCCGAGTGCTGGGATTAAATAAAGGGGTGCACCACCACCACCGGGCTATTTAAGAGTCTTTTACCAAATTAAAAATGAGGTCCTTGGGGGTGTGCCCTAATCCCACACGGCTGGTGTCTATATAAGCCAAGGCGAAGTCTGGACATAAAGGGAGAACGGCCATGAACGCTGGGGCCAAGCTGCCGTCAGCCACGGGTCTTCTGGAAGCAAAGAGGTCTGCGGAGAGCCTTCCTTTGCAACCTTTGGGAACAGCCAAGTGTTAGCCGAATTTTATCTATGCTGTGGCCGGTTGTCCAATTAGAGTCAGGTGTTGGGTCAGGAGGCGGGGCTTACAGTCAGCAGGACAGGATGGATCAGATAGTTCCCAGGACTCCAGAGAGAGCCCCCCCCACTCCCACCCCCTAGACGGAGAGGCGGGGCCGGAAGGTTGTATGGACCCCCTTCGAAGCTAAGGGTGGTTAGTGTGTCCTGGCCAAGGTGATTGTCCCATCTTTATATTTGTCCCCAAATTATATAATAAATAGTAAAAGAAATCGCTGTAGCCCTGTCAACCTGGAGAAGTAGGATTCCCAGCTTCCAGAACTGAGATGCTTCTTACATAAGCCTCCTCACGTGGCGGGGGTGGGGGGGATTTACTACGCCTGGCTACTCGTTAGAAATGAGGCCAGCACCAAAGAAAGTCCTGAAGGCTGCTTACTGCAAGTCTCCACCTTAGCATCCCATGGAGATGGAGAAGCACAGAGAGAAAGTAGTGGGCTGAGAGGAGACAGAACCTACACCCCTCGACAGAATTGCTTCAATTCATCTAGGCCTCAAGAAGGAAGCCAGGCTTTTCACAAGATTCGGGGTGTGCCTTTTGAAAGTCACGGTGGTAGACTGTATGCAAATCCCAGGTGTTAGGAGGAAGAGGCAGTGGAATTGGGGGTACAAGGTCATTCTCCACTATGCAGCGAGTTCAAGGCCAGCCTGGGCTGAGTAAGACCCTGTCTCAAAAATGAAGCTATCAGTAAACAAACAAACAAACAAACAAACAAACGCTCTGTGGCCCTTTCTCTTTGGGATCTTTTTGGCCCTCATGAGAAACAGAATTGTTGAAAAATCTTGATTAACTGGCATGATTCATGTTAGCGTTTACGAATAGCATTGGAGGGTTATCTGATCCAATGGCTGGAACCCGCAGCCTTCTTGCTTGCCAGCTTCGCTCTCAGAACAAGCAGATCTGCCACGGTGACAGATGAGGACCGGGTGCCTCTCCGATGTTTTAGAACTCATTAAGCCCATGCAGCAACTGTAGGTCTGCGGAGGCGGAGCTCTGCTCCGTTCCCCACGGCACACATGGTCCAGTGGAGCAGAAAGTACACAGAGAAAGCAAACCAGAGCGAGCTTGTTGGCGAGTTCCTCCCATCTGCATCCAGCTGAACACAGGCCCACCGCGCACGCAAAATGCAATGCGTATTTAGAAAAGAGGCGACTGTGTGATTAGAGGAGAATTGCCACTCTGGCGCATTCTTTTTCATCAGGTTCTATGGAAACCTTTGCTGCGGCAAAGCACGTTCGAAGCACGTCCGGGGAGGCACAGGTCCAACAGACAACAGGCAATACGAGCCAGTCGTCTGTGTGGGATAGGGTGCCCACTGGCAAGGAGTCTTCCCTTCCCAGCCATTCTCGTTAGTGAAGAGCCTGCTGTCGGAAATACGGGCCCGTTTCCGTAACGCTTTATTCGTGAGATCTGCCCATCACAGAACTGCATGGTTGAGTCTTTTAGGATGCTAAGTCCTGTCTGTCTGTGGTCACTGGCCGGTGTCAGAAGCTGCTCTGGGCTCTCTGGACCTCCCTCGTTTGTTGGCTGAGTGGAGCATTTGTTGTATTTATAGCTCTCCTGAGGTTGCATTGTGGGAGAATCAACAGCAACTGGCTTGTTTCAAACTGAACTAAAGCCATAGCGATAGGGTTGGGTATTGTGAGACCCTGGAGCCATGCCTTGGTGCATGTAAGAAAGCCGGCTTCATGCCCATCCCGTTGTTTGGCTGTGTAGGGAAAATAGCACATAATGGAAGACCGGGTGACCGTGTAGCCATGCCAGGTCATTCCCCAGAGCTTTGGCTGGGACAGACCTCACTGTGGTGCCCCTTCAGTCTCTGGGTTGCCAAATATTTGCAAACTGGTAAAATCACACTATAATAAATAATACAGGCACTTTGAAAACAACGACCTAAGCATCCATGAAAGGAGCCAGGGATCGTTCCACCAAGAAAGTCTCTAGCTCTCCCCTCAAACCAAGATTTTCATGCCAGACAGACAGAAGGCCTCTGATGACTTTGGCTTCTTGTGTCAAGCCTTTCTATGCTGTTTTAAACACCTATTTTGATATTATTTTCATAATTACAAGTTATTACCCAAGAAAGAGTGATGGTCTGTCAAGAGGGTTCTGGTTGCACCCACATATATACACACACATAGATGAGAGATGATAGATATGATTGATGGGTAAAATAAACAGGATATATATGTATTACTATAGATGAATGATAGATTATAGACACAATAATCTATAATAATCTAGATAAATTGTAGATGACCAATTAGATAAGTGATAGACATTACATATGGTAGATAAAAGCTGATAGATAGATAATAGATAGATAGATGATAGATAGATAGATAGATAGATAGATAGATAATAGATAGATAGATAGATAGATGATAGATAGGTAGGTAGGTAGATGATAGATAGATAGATAGATAGATAGATAGATAGACCGGCCCAATCAAAATATGCCCTGTGCCTTTTTGTTACCGTGGAACTTTCTAAAATGTCACTGTTTGATACACATCTCTAAAATGTCTGTGAACAAGCCAAGCCACAGTCTCTCTCACAGGAGAAAAAGAAAAAAAAAAGACGATTTTATCATCAGAAAGTCAGGGGGGCTACCTCGGAAGAAAGATTAGAATTGTACACTGCTTTTAAAAACACAAGATATCAACAGACAAATATTTTCACCTTCAAATCCTTTCTTTAAAAAAAAATCTCAGCTGTGTTCCAATTTTCATCAAATATCTCATGCATAAGAGAAAAGGGTTTTGCTTCACGTTGGTTTGATGGACCCCAAGGTCTTGTTCTAGTCCCGCTCCCACTGAGCTATAATCCCAGCCCTTATTACTCTTTCTCTTTGAGGCAGGGGCTCACCAAGTTATCCATACTGACCTTGAACTTTCCATCCTCTTGCTTGGATGAGTCTCTGCCACCAGGCCCAGCGGAGAACAGTGTTTTAAAGCTAAAGAAGCCAGGAGCCTTCTACTGAAAGGCAGCTGTCTGAGAAGACTGAAGGCATATTCACCATAGCTTCTGCCCTTCCCAGAATACCACGGGGAAGGAGGTGTGGCCTAGAGGAGACCCTGAGGACTAAGGGAGTACAGGATCCCTGTAGTGGTTACACCCTGCCTAACTAGCACCCCAGGGAGACCACCTTTAGAAAGGGACGGAACCTCATTTGTAAGATGAGGAAACACAGCTGCAAGTGTTGAGTGTTACAGCAAACCTGTTAGGAAACTTCTAAATTACAAAACCTTGGAGGAATGCAGAAAAAGCACAGATTCTAACGGCCAAGTGGCTATGATGACCTGTACAACTTACCCTGTTTGCTTAAATATGAATTTATTGAAACAGAACACTGTGCCAGGCTGTGTGAATTGTGCTTGGAGATGCTCTCACACTTGGGAAGCCGCCTCCAGCAACAATAGCTAGCTAGCATAGGTGACATCTGACATTCATGATTTCAGAAACGTCCAGAAATCCTGAGGTGAGAAGACAAGGTGGGAAGGATTTTGACGGTGGACAGTTGCCAGGCAGCATGGCACTCTTGACAACAAACCACGTGCAACACGCAAGTAGACCCACGACGTGAGATGGGGAGAGACACCAGCTGCATACACAAAAAGCGGACTGTCTTTGAGGCTGACAACAGAACTGACGGGTCTCCCAGCACAGAGATCCATTCCAAAGTCAGTTTGGCAGACGGCAAGTGGTAGTGGGCTGGGGAGGACCGGGACATGCTCTGCAGGCTGCAGGCTCTTGTCCCGTGTGTCTGCAGGTGTCCACATGCAAGCCTGTGTGCTGCCGGCAGGTGGTCACTGGTTCCTAAGGGATGAGAGACGCTAGCTAGGCTTTCTTTTCTGTGGGCGTCCCAGGCTCCGGCGTCTTCACGGATGCCGGGTTTGTCTGCGCTCTGCCTCTCCCGATGCTTGTTTTCTTCGGCTTCTGGCTGTTGTTTTGGAGGGATTTCAGCCCCAGCATCTTACAGTACTTGTTACACTGGTGCAGTGCTTTGAACTGATCGATGAAGGTCATAGAGCAGTTGCCCTTGAATCCCTTGTACCTGTATGTGGGTGTGAAAAAGAAAACCACTTAGAGAGAAGACATTTTACCGGTTTCAAAAGACATATCTGAAAGAGAAATTAATGGTGCATAGAAAATATATTTGTTCCTATTCCCGGCAAGAACAACCACATGGCTGACAGTTAAAAGAAAAAGGGGGGGGGGGGCACTGGAGAAAATGCCTCTTACCCACCTGGCCACATAGTAGATAGCACATCGTAAAGATTCAGTTCCTGGCCATGGATGGTTACAGCTACCGATCCTGGCACCGCTGTGACTGACAGGGCCCTCCAGCAGGAAGAACGCTGGAGGGTCAGTGACAGACAAGCAGACAGGCGTGAGGGTATGCCTGGAATATAGAGCTACTGACCTGATGTTTTAGAGTTTGGTGCAAAACGAAAAAAATGTTCAAAACGTATTGAGAATTTTGAGACAGGAACGGCAGCTAAAACAAGACAGCACTTTCCTGAACGTGGACCCAGGAACTGCACATCCACGGCTGGGTGTGAGTGTGAGGCTCTCTCTCATGAGTAAGGCCAAAGAGAAGCCACTGCTTTCCCTAGGTGACGCGCACCATGTTTTACACTGTCAGGGCTGTGAAAGCCTTCCCTGCTCCCTGTAGCCTTGGTGTAGGCCTGCAGCTTCATCCTGACAGGTGTGCTACAGTCCGCTTGCCCCTCCTCCTCTCTGCTTCCAGGAGGCCATTTCCTGAGGAGACGCAGCTGCTCTCCAAAGGACACGTGCACTTTGCTGAAGAAAAAGCCAACCAAACGCAGCAATTGAGTGCATCAGAGCAGGGACTCCCACGGCTAAGCTTTCCATCTCTAGCGTCCTCTGCAGAAGACTCCAGAAAAGGTCAAATGCTAGTCTGTGAACACTTCCTGTCTGCCCGAGCATCCCCCACCGTGTGTGTGTGTGTGTGTGTGTGTGTGTGTGTGTGTGTGTGTTGGGGGAGACAACCCAGGGCACACGTGTGCAGACACAGTAGAAACTAGAACCTGACTGCCTCTGGATAGGGTGTCACCCACACACAGTCGTGCTAAAGGCAGCCTTGCACAGTCTGGGACATGTTTCTCGGCACCCAACCTCTGCAAAGCTTGGGCTGTAGGGCAGGCTCCATGGAACCTCCTGAACCCTTTCCTCAGCATGAGAATGGATCTTTCTCTTCTGTCTCTGTGTGTCCTGAGGAGCTGACCCACACCGTAGAATCAGGAGTGCATACCGACATCTCTCCACGGGTGCCACCTCTCCCCAGACATGGTTTTACATCCAAGGTCCCTGTCCAGAACGGGATTTTACAATGAATGTTCAAAGAACAAGTAAACAGATCCCAGCCCTACCAGCAGGGCTCTTTGATCTCAGCCCAGATGGGTCTCCACATCACATTTCCAAATTTCTCTGTCTCTGTTTGCTTTTATAATAACAAAACAAGCAACGCTACCCAGATGCAATGCATGAAGAAAAAGACTTTATTTAGCTAGAGATTCCAAATGTGGCCTCCACATCCTGGTGAGAGCCGTTGGCTACGCTGCAATATGGTGGAGAGATGGCCAAGTGCAGAAGGGGCCAAGTGTGCGCCGTGGCCTTGGGTTGTGGCACCTCATTCCATAAGACCAACATCAATCTTTTCCTGTTGTTTCCCCATGGTCAGCAGACCCCACGGCTCAACAGTTCTACAGTTTTGCTCACTAAAGACAAAACTTCAAGCACACAAACCTCCAGGCGGGATGCTCCAACCAGAGCACACTTTGAAGTTGGACTCAGGCAATGCTGAACCCTTCCACAGCTTTACCAGAGGTACATGCATTTTTTAGATTTTGCCACCTTGTGTCTACAGAATTCAGAGTCTTTCTCTTCTCTAAATTTGGTCTCTGTCTCAACTTGGATGTTGGGCTTTGCCCTGTTGTTCTCTCCAACTGGCAACCATTATTGCGAAATGGTTTTTGCCTGGGAAGGAAAATGCAGCAAGGTCCATATGTTTCTAGACCAATTAACCACAGATGTATTCAGAGGACACAATTCACCAAGCTGTCATCTACCCAAGCAATAGGAAACAGCCCTCAGTTTATGACCTGATGTGCAAGCCACATACACCATCTGCTGCCCTCGGGCTCGGTGGAAACTACCGATCTAGGCTTTCGTGACATCGTTCCAATGTGAACCCAGATGCGGAAACCCATTGCTACCGTTCCTGTTATTTAGATATGCAGATAACCAAAAAGTTCTGTCCTTCCAAGAAGCTCAGGGGTGATATTATTTGTAAATAGTGGCTACTGTAGATCTAATGACTTAGGATGAGATCCCAGCATTACTGATATTTACATATGAAGCAGAGAAAAGAGAGAGGCGCATGAGAAACCTATATGAGGCAGAGTTCTAGTGATTCATCTACAAATAAAAAACCATTAAGAAGTATAGTCAAGCACCGGAAGGCAGAAGACAGGCATGAAACAGACTCCAGATGGAACTAGATCTGCTGTGAGAGTTAATCTTGGTCGCCAACTTGGTGGCATCTAGAACCACCTAGGAGAAGGACCGATGGGCAGGCATGTGGGGAGTCATTTTAAATTAATTGAGGCTGGAAGATTGTCCACTATGGAAGGTACCATTCCCTGCGCTTGCCTCCTGAGTGTGTGTGAGAGCAGGTGTTCCATCCCTCCTTCCTTCTGCTTCCTCGTCAGGAAGGAACACACCCTTGAACCATGAGCCAAAATAAACCTCCCTTAAGTGGCCTTTGTCAGAGTATTGTATCGCAGCAACAGAAAGACAAAAACAAAAGCTAAGGCACCTCCTGGTCCCTCTCAGGCTTTCAGCCTCCAGAGCTATGAAACCATAAACTCTTGCAATTTTAAACATTTGCGTTTGTGGCCTAAGAATCTAGCACAATGGGATAAGGAACTTTGTATTAGACACACACACACATACACGCACAGAGTTTTTCAGTTTTAGAAACCTTAGCTTTGCTAAATTTTACTTATTGGATCTTTGCTTTTTAAACTCCAGTTATAATCATTTCTGAGTTGACTTCACCTGGCCTTCCACACAAAACATACAAGATAGTTCCTCAGAGCCACCGTTTGTAAGACTTCTGGGCAGGGGCCAGAAGAACACCATGCTACTTCTACCTGGGGAGAAATGTGTTCTGTCAGGCTCTGCTGGGCCCTGGAGGTCCAAGCACACGCACAGCTCACTGCTACAAAGGCTTCTTGCCAAAATGTAAGGTGAAGGCTTTTCCCTTTCAAACCTCCAAGCATCCTGGGTGGTGAGAGTCTCTCAAATGTGTTTTCCATATCAGGAATGCCTGACAATTCCGTGCCTCCTTACACCTGGTTGTTCTTCCTTCCGAAGGTAGACAGGCACCTCCTGGCAGGAGGCCATACTGAGAGGTGCCCTTGGTAGCTAGTCATAACCACCTCATTTGGCCACAGCGAGTACTGAAGGGAAGTTCTGCTCAGAGTCCCCCTCTTTGTTTCACTTCCATCTAACCATGTGACTAGGGCCTTTTTTAAAAAACCCAGAGCGATTATAGCCTCTGCTGCCCTCTAGTGGGTAAATCATGACTCCCCCCCCCCCCCCTCCACTTTCTCCTTGGGACTCCACTGCCTAGAGAGATGCTTGCAGGGCCCCTGGTAACCAGTACAGTTCTGTTCCCGCTGCGTGGCTTGGTTAAGTTTCCAAATCCCCAGTTGCCAAATTGAGTATCTTTCTTTGTCTCTCTAAGAGAACTCTAGGTGTCTGAGGAATTCAACTCAGAAATGTAATCCAAGAGCCAGTTAGGCTCTCCAGTCTATCTGGAGGGTGGATGACACCTCCAGACATAATAATACTCATAGCCCAGGAGGACTGTGACAGCGCTGTTTTCAGAATCATGCCAAATGAAAGTTGCAATGAGCAGATCATAACGGTTCCTTATTTTATGAGATTATGAATAGATTATTTATTCGCCAAATAGCATCTCAGTCTTCCCTTGAATATCTCTAACTTCATTACAGAACAAGACAGGTTGCATTTATTGGGATGTGAGATAGATACATGTGCAGGTTGAGACATAAGGATGTGTGCATGTATGCACGCATGTGTATATAGATGCATGCTTGTATGGAGGACAGAACCCAATCTCAGTGTCATTCTTCAGGTGTCAATCACCTTTGTTCCTTTTGAGGCAAGGCTTCCAACTGGCCTGGCCAACTGGAATAGAGCTTCCTGTCTCTGCCCCCTCCTCCTGTTACTGGAATAACAAGGGCAAGCCATCATGTCTGACTATTTACATATATATATATGTATATTTACATATATATATAGTATATACATGTGTGTGCGTGTGAATTCTTAGAACTGAGCCTAAGTCCTCATGCTTGCCGACACTTTGCCAGATTAGCCATTTCCCCTTCAGCCCTGCAGCCTGGAAATGTCTTGAAATGACACAGGGCTTCACATTTTAGGACCGTGTCCTTCTCTACAGCCAAGGGCTGCCAGGGGACCAGCCTCCCATAGAATTCACAACTCTCTTTCTGTCTCCAGGCTTTTCATCCGTAAGCTTGTTCAGAATAGAGAAACTGTGTCTCATGGATCCTCATTCACCCAGCTCCTCCCTTGTACTTGGAAAGTCTGACACCCCCTCTTTCTTTCCCCTGTTCCTTGGCACTCAGTGTGAACAGTTTTGTCCGATCTGCAGAGCATCTTTGAGTCTGAACCCTTTCCCAGTGGGCTACCATTGTTCTCCGTCCATTTGCAGCTTTTGGCTTTGAGGTGAACATTTCTTCAAACAGATCTTGCTTTCTAGCGAGTGAGATAAACTCCTGCACATCAAGAGTGCGTAACCCCCCACCCCGTGTACCCACCTCCTTCATGCAGAGAATGCTACTGGTCCTCCACTTCCTTACCTTCCCCACATCACTGCTGGCTCAGCCCTGCTCCAGAGGAAAGGAAACCTGGGAATCTAGGTGGTGAGTATGGTCACAGTTCCCTCGGAGAATAAGGATGTGTAAGGAAGCCCTAACACCCCTCATCCTCTGAGCGATTCCCCATTTATTGGCTTTTCAAATCAAGCTTCTAAAATAAAAGTTTTTTTTTTAAATGTGTGACTTTTCTTTAAGCTTGTAAAGAAAACTTTAAAACCTGGACAAGCTGATCTAGAGTCCTTTCGAACACTGCAGAATTCCCTTCCCACCTCTCCCTGGGTGGGAAAGCAGTCGTAAGTGCCACTTTGCAGGCAGCATTCTGCCCTTGGCTCCAGCCATCCTCTCTGCTAATAGGCCTTGGGCAGCTGTCCCAGGCTAGAAAAGTAACATAAAAGCTGAGAACAAAACCAAGGGCTTAGATTTCTTTTTAAATTAGGAGGGGGAGTGCCGCTCGGAGCTCTCTCATTCCTGGAAGCCGCTGACATGCTTCACAAGACGCCGTAAATCACCAGCCTCTTGTGCTCACTTTGGTTTGGGGACTTCTCAAGCCGTTTTGGTTTAGTAGGAGGTTGTTCTAAGCCAGCAGTTCTCAACCTGTGGGTCGTGACCCCTTCAGGGGTCACATATCAGATATTTACATTATGATTCATAACAGTAGCAAACTTACAGTTATGAAGTAACAACAAAAATAATTTTATGGTTGCGGGGGTTACTACAGCATGAGGAATTGTTCCAAAGGGCCTCAGCAGCAGGAAGGTTGAGAACCACTGCTTTAGGCGATGCTGTAGAATTTTGTGTACCCTGGCAACAGGCAGGGGTGAGCAGGAGTAGGGAGTTCTGTTGAGCCAACATCAGTGACAGGGTCTGGAGGTAGATTAGCCAGGGGGATCCTCAGCAAACCACAGGGACCCCAGGCTGATGGGCAGGCAAGCCAAGTCTGGCTGAAATCTTGTTCTACAGATAACAGCGAGTCTTAAGAGAAGATTCCACTTGGGAAAGTGCTCTGACAACCAAAGGCCTTCACAGGTAGGGTACCACAGGTTACGGGAACATTCGCCCACGGAGGACGCTGAAGTGAACAGCTTTTAACATCAGGCACAAGATGTCACAAACAGGAGGAAACTGAGCCTATCCAGCCATCCCGCTCATCAGACAGACATATGGAGCCATGAGCCACGCTACCACCAAGAGAAGAAGAGGTAAAGGACCTGGCCCAGATTTGGACCAAGTCTCTCTCAAAAGCTCCTGCCTTCCCCCCAACCTCTCTGACACATTCTATTTGCAAGCCCAATGTCATGACCAAATACCGGGAAGCCTACAGCAACCAGGCCTCCATCTGGGGCCGTGAGATGAGCGTGAGAGACGGTTCCATCACAAGAGCTCACCTCACAGAGCCGGTTTCCAAAAGGAAGACACCAGGTGAGAGAGATCCAGACCGCGTCCTGGCTGTAAGTAAATTGGAGAGCCCGGGGCTATCACAACTTCATGAATCAAACCTGTGGTTTTCGTTACTTTTCTCGCTGCTATGGCAAAACTCTTGACAAAAAGCAACCTATGGAGGGAGGGTGATCTTGGCTCCCAGTTTAAGGGCACAGCCCATCACGGCATGTGCCTGGGGTAGGTGGCAGAAGAGTGGAACTCCTGGCCACATTGTATCCACAGTCGGGAAGAGAGATGAGTATGGGAGCTCAGCTTGCCTCTCTCCTTTCTGATCTGCATGGGAAGGCACCGCCCACTTTCAGGATAGGATTCCCACCTTCAAATGTGCACCATGGCGTGGACATGTGTTCTCTCTCTCTCTCTCTCTCTCTCTATATATATATATATATATATATATATATATATATATATATCATATATGCACACACACACAGAATACATTTAAAAATATTTTTTGAAGAAGTCACGAATAGCCGCTTTCTCTTCAGCGGGGCCCACGTGAAGCAGCAAAATGAGACAGTTTGTTAAGAGCCTGGCTAATAGTCGCAGTGCCACCTGAGTGGACAACTGAGCAGACTAGCATCCTTGCCTTCAACTAGGGAAGGAAAACCAACAGCACTGGTACCCAGTCACAGGCATTTGAATGGCTTCTGTGCTCCCGGGCAGGCAGCTGGGAAGTTAGCTAGACGGCCAGGGATGCAAGCTTCTGTAATAATCTCTCGTGCCGGTGAGCCACCAGAAGGATTTTTGGGGAGGGAAATGGACTAATCATAAACACGTAAAACTTATTGGGCTCAATTGCAAAAACCAAAACAACAAAAGCTTTCAATAGAGACGATGGTAAGTGTAGAAACTGGAGGTTTTGGGTTGAAAGACATCGCAGTGATGCCAGAATACTTTCTCACCAGGACACTCCTCCGAGGAGTCAGCTAGTCTGGCAATGTGTTTGCAGGCATTCTTGTTTGCCTCAAAGTTAGGAAGCAATGTGTTTCCCCTCGAGAACAAAGTCCATAAATATTTTATGTAAGTAAAAGAAATGAATTGAACTCATTCCCAAGACCATTTGTCATCCACAGTAAAGACAAGAAATCCACTCTGTCCACATTAGCCAAGCAGCGTTTGCCGGAACCCAATGAGAAATGACACCTACTTCACTTTTTCCTACTCACCCTTTAGCTAGTGTTGCTATGCCGACGTCAGTTAGCTTCATCCCCACACCTGTGGAGAAAAGACAGCATTGTTAAAGGGAGCACGAGAAGGATTGGTCAGGGGCTCTCCCAGGCTGGATGGGTCCATGTGTACTCACCTCCCGGTTTCTACCCTCAGAGCCCCGGGAGATTCACAGTCTTCCTGCCCTGTGCCTGGTGGGGGAGTAATGATGGGGAGGGCAGACCTGTGACTCTGGCAGCAGTCCCCAGGGCAGACCTTCAGACTTATCCTTGCCCCAGGATGGAGCAGGGACTCGGTTGCTCTCTGATGAATTTGAGACTAGGTACTTTCCCCATGAGTTTTCTCACAAGTAATGATGTCTCTTGAACTTACATCTGGTCCCCTGTTCTTCACTGAAAGTGGAAATCCTTAAATAGAGGGAAGCATGGGCATGGACTGCCTTGGTCAATGGCAAAAATAAGCAAGTTCAAGGCAACATATTCACAGGCAAACTCCACATCCACAATTCTCACTTCTAAGACAGTTTCCTATCATTCGCTGAAGAATTTCCAGATCCTAGGAAACACTCACAGGCTATGGGTGGGCTTGTAGCCATTGGCCTGGACCTTAGATGGCCCAGCCATCTAAGACTTTTAATAACTTCATTCACAGAACCATGGTGATGATTGGAAATACCAAACCCCAGACAATAAAAAGGCTACCGAGTTTCCTACTCTGGCTCAGCAAAAAGCCACTGATGTCCTTGCTGTAAGCCCAGGCACACACGGCCCCTTTGCCAACTGTGCTCCCCAGAAGGGCAGCTGGAAAGTAGCTAGGGAGACAGAGGTGCAAGGGAAATGAACAGCCTGTTGTCTTCTAGCATGAGGAAGGTGAGCATCCTACTACAGTAAAGGACTGTCCACTTTCCCTCTGCCCCAGCCTCAGTCTGTCTCCCAGGCTAGCAATTAGGAAGATCATCAGTGCTCATGCCCAGACTGTAGAGGTCCCTGGGCCTTCTAGCATCTTCCTGCTCTATCTTCCTGCTTCTGAATTCCTAGGACGGTGGCTCTGGGCACTTGCCCTGCCTCGGTACTCCCAACCTGTGCAATCCAGTTGTAACCTGTTGGACATCTCTGACATATCTCTGACTCTGGTCTTATATGAGCTGGACTGTAAACAGTGATATCCCTGCCACCAAGCAGGTAACTTGGCCATGGAGCAGGCAGGTAGGTGACAAACCAGTCTGGGGTATGGAGGTCCCAGGTCTCTCTAAAGCCAGCGCTGGGATGAGAATGGATGACAACCTGGTTCCACGGCTCTGCATCCCAGAGGCCCAGGGAAAGCAAGCAGAAGGCAGAATGCCTGGTTCATCTGTGTCCACCAAGGGCATGGCGAAAATGCTGCCGTGTTGCTAGTCAGATGGGTGAGTCACCTGGCAGCCAGCCCAGCTTTTGTACATGTACCTGTGAGCTAAACGTGGCACTTTGGACATCCCAGCAAACCTTTTAAAAGCAGAATCAGCTCATTCTTCCAAAGATACTAACAACGGGAACACATGAATGCCTGATTCATATCGCTTCATTTGTGGAAAGTGCAATGGTTTTTAAAAGATGCCAAATTGCAAAGGCCCCTTTGGACATCTTTTTCCATGGAAAGTCCTGTCTAAACACCGCAGCTCTAAGTTCCAGGAAGGGTCAATTTTTATAAGTCATTTGGCAACAGGTGCTTGAGCTTGGGCAGTGTCCTCCCTTGCCCTCACAGTTGGCAGCTGCCATTTTTGGTTTGGAAAAGTAGGCTGCCAAGGTCAGGGGAGACGGCTCAGTGTGCAAGCCTGAGGTCAGATCCAGGTTCCCAGAATTCACCTAGAAGCTGGATATGTAGTGTAGGTGTGTGTGTGTGTGTGTGTGTGTGTGTGTATGTGTGTGTATGCGTGTGTATGTGTGTAGTCTCAGAGTACCTCTGGGGAAATGGGAGATATAGATGGAGAATTTTCCAGAAACCTAGCTCACTTGGTTTAATTATTTGCCAGTAATTCAACAAAGGTTTCCAGCAATCATTGGCGGGCAGTACTTTCAATCTGATGTGCACATACCTGTCAGACTGACGTATGGCTGATCGTGGCCTATGGGGTGTTTCTAATGGGAGGAAGGGCAGGGTTGGTGGTCCTCTTGGAGATGGCTCCTTAGAAAGTCTAGTGGTCTCAACAGGTCTCGGGTCTTAACCACGGACTCACCCTTGACCCCACAGACCTACAGTCTCATCAAGTTTCTATCAACAAACAAATGCACCCTGGGAAGACGACAGTCACATTTGGTTTTGTTTCTCTTACTTTTAACTGTGGTGTGTACAAAGCCAAGACACTGCCTCCAGATGATGTGTGTACTGGCGCCACAAGGACGATGGCAATGGAGAGATTTTCTGAGCAGCAGACAGTAAATAAGCCCTGTTATGAAGCACTGTGCCAACACATTTGAGTGCACACATCATTTGCGGAGAGATGTAATATTCCATCGCAGTGTTTACCAGTGCCTGGGAGCAAAACTAGCTGTGCGTGAAGCTCCAGGGTGCTCTTCTTTCACAGACAAAATACATTTAATGCAAAACTAACTCCAAAGGTGACAGCTTGGGAAGAACAACTGTACAGCCAGAATCGCAATAGAACAAATAGAACAAACAGCTGTCTGCTCAGAATGTGTGTGTGTGTGTGTGTGTGTGTGTGTGTGTGTGTGTGTGTGAAGTCATTCCTGGGAATATTCACACATCGAACCTTTTAACATCAGGGGATACTTGAGAAGCCTGGAAAGTAACTCGACTGCAAATTTGTTCGTTTGACATCTTGTACAAAAAGTGCAATATCCAGACTCTGAAAATGTAGGTTGGGGTCTTGGACTCCTCTATAGTTATTAGCTGACTGGCAAAAGCTAAACCACTGCTCTTGCTCTCAGCTTTTTCTTCTGTAAAATGGGAGCATAGTATATTCTATACAGGATTAGCATGGAGCATAAATAAAAAGCACAGAAAAGCGAATGTACGCAACAGCTGGAGAAATCTAGTCCCTCCTGTAGTCTAGCCACTCTGCTGGGTCAGGGTTCACGTCTCATTTTGATCATGTGCAGCCCTTATATGAGCTGTGATCATCTGGCAAAGCTCCACAGAGGGTATGTGGGCAGCTTCTCTGTACAGTTTTGCAAATTCTGTCTGACTATCTGTTGTCTATCTCTCTGTGTCCTGTTTCTCTGTGCTATGGGATAATGCTCTTGTATCATTGTCCTTTCTGCCTGGTTCCACCTGTGGGTACTACTTTGCCTAAAACCTTAGCTTTGCCAATGCAGCAAGAGTGGAACACAGGAGGATCAATGCCACCACCGTGAGCAACATTTGGCTGGTGCTAAAGGGAGCTGTGGGTGATCATTCCTGCTTCCCCATACTCGGGCAGGGAATTCTGGGAAGTGTACTCAATGCAGGCTTCCAGCAGAGCACAGTTGCCCATGGTAGTAACTGGGAGTTTGCCCATGTACTGACTGCCTGTGCTTCCTCTGTCTTCTGCCATTTTCTGGGCTTCTTTCTCAAATGAGCTATATGCACTCAAGACAGTAGCTCTCTGGTCCTTCCTCCACATCAGTGGGTGGGGACTGAAAATATTTGAAAATATTGAATATATATTGAGCATGTACAGACCGATGTAGCACACTCTCTTAGAGGACATTTATATTGCATTAGGTGCTAGAAGTCATCTAGAGATGATGACTCAAAGTATACGGAAGAATATGTAGAGGTATACAACCCCGATGCCATTTTAGACAAGGGACCTGAGCATCTAGAGAAGTGAGTATCCGCAGAGGTCCTGAAGCCAACTCCCAGGGGGATACCCAGACATACTTGTCTCCAGTCTGTTCCAGAAAGAACCCTAATTATGACATGTCCATTTCCTGTAAGAAGCTGTATTCCTAAAAATTTCTCTGTACCTGGAAAGCACACTGCAAATTCCACAGGAGAGCCCAAGATCTAAAGGTTCCAGTGACACTTTGATTTATTGGGAAATAAATACTACATCTCAACTCACTCATGGCAGTACATGTGGACTTCCACGTGTGCTGAATTTTGGGGTGTAACCATGAAGCTAGCCTCAACCTTTTATAGTGGAAGGCACTGCGGATAGTCAATGATATGAATTTTGTTACTTCATTTGGCCAATCATCCATTGCCAAGCTTCATTTCCAACTGGACATGAATAACATCTTAGGGAGAAGATGCTTGTTGGTACTCAGTAGACCTCTCCTCTTTACTTCCCCCTCCCTCATCCCTCCTACCTGTAGAAATGCCCAGAGCCCCCAGCATCCCCAGAACTGGGCGGTGCGGTCCGCTCACCCTGCATGTCTGTGACCAGGAGACAGCCGCTGGTCTTCTGGTACACCCAATGCTGGAAGGTGCAGCACTTCTGACCAGCCTCCGAGTCCCTTCGGAGGAAGTTGATTTCCTTCCCGTCGCGGATGGAATACTTCACGAATTCTCCAATCAGCTCCTCTTCCACTGTGGCATAAGGGATGTTGTTCTCTGGCCGATGGATGAGGAAAATAGGGATGATCCTGTCAGGGAGGAGGACATGGCTCTCAGAGGGGAACACAAGTGCCTGGGTGTTCCTGTCCCCTGGAGCAGCAGGGCACACAGACAATCTAGGTTCCACTCCGTGTTTTATTTTATGCCTTTGCATTGCCTTCAATTGTATTTAATGAACCAAAAGACTCATTTCTACTTTTGTTTCTAGAATTAGTTTGAAGCCTTCTTTGTCATTACTTTTAATGTCATTTTGTTTGGTTTTGTTTGAGATCATTGTTTAACTACACAGCCCTGGCTGGTCTGGAACTTTCTATATTGAATAGGCTTGCCTGGAAATCACAGAGATTGGCTTGCCCCTGACTCCCAAGTGCTGGGATTAAACACATGAACCACCACATTCAGCTTTGGCTTTGCTTTGACTTTTTTTAAAAACTTATATATTTATTTATTATGTATACAACATTCTGCCTTCATGTATGCCCGCACACCAGAGGAGGGTGCCAGATCTCATTACAGATGGTTGTGAGCCACCATGTGGTTGCTGGGAATCGAACTCAGAACCTCTGGAAGAGCAGCCAGTGCTCTTAACCACTGAGCCATCTCTTCAGCCCCTGCTTTGACTTTTTTTTAAATTTATTTTATGCGTATGGATGTTTTACCTGCATACATGCACACTACATGTGTGCATGGTACACACGGAGGCCCGAAGAGGGTATCAGATTCCCAGTAAATAAATAAATAATGTCTCACTAGGTAGCCAGACTGGCCTCAAACGCATTAGGTAGCCCAGACTAGCCTAGAAGTCTAGCTCCTTCTGTCTCAGCCTCCAGAGTGTTGAGATTATAGTCCTGGGCCACAATACCAGGCTCTATCATTTTATCTCAGTAATCCATTGGATCAACAACTACCACCCATCCACCCGTCCATCCACCCACCCATGTTTACATGCATGCATGCATCCACCCACCCACCTACCCATCCATCCATCCACCGATCCATCTATCCATCCACCCATCCATCTACACATCCACCCACCCACCCATTCATTCACCCACCCATTCATCCACCCACCCACCTACCCATCTATCCATGCACCGATCCATCTATCCATCCACCCATCCATCTACACATCCACCCATCCACCCACCCACGCATGCATCCATCCATCTATCCACCCATCTACCCATCCATCCGTCCATCCACCCACCCACACATGCATCCATCCATCTATCCACCCATCTACCCATCCATCTGTCCGTCCACCCACCCATGCATGCATCCATCCATCTATCCACCCATCTACCCATCCATCCGTCCGTCCACCCACCCACACATGCATCCATCCATCTATCCACCCATCTACCCATCCATCCGTCCGTCCACCCACCCACGCATGCATCCATCCATCTATCCACCCACCTACCCATCCATCTGTCCATCCATCCACTCACCCACCCCTTACCTATTCATACTTCATTCAGTCAGCAAACACTCATTTTCAGTGGCTTCTGTGTATTAACACTCTTCCAGACATTCTTTCACAAACACCAATAGAGAAAACAGAGGCCCTGGCTATTAAGTTCCACACTCAGGGACAAATGGCTGAGGCGCCTGTTTAGCACATCAAAGCGGACCTGGTTCAATGCTAGGACCAGGTTCTCCTAGCACCCCTCAGTCCCTACCTGTTACAGGGCATGGTTGGCATATTCTGCCCTCTACCTGCCCCTAGGGGCTGGGCTGCCCTTCCCACCAGAAGTTCTTCCCTGTATAATCCAGACATTTTGGTTACCTGCCTCCTTTTGTTTCTCTGGCCTTCGGGCTGCGGCACCTGGTTCCACTCTCTCCTTTCCCCTCCCTCATCTCCCCATATGGCCCAGCTGAGGGTCATGTTGACTCTGGACTCTCCCTGATGTCCCTATCTCTGCCTACACTTTCTGTTTCTATCTACAATAAACGTTCTCCTCCACCACACCCAGGAGCACCCAAGTCCTGTCCTTTTCATTTCTCTTTCCCATGCATCTGCCCCCCAACCATGAAACTTACATTTAAATGGAGGTAACAGGCAATGGCAAACTGCAGGATGTTAAATGTCACGTGGAAGTCTGGTGTGGTACCCAGGAGATTGCACCTGGGCGGGGAAGGGGCTGTCATTTTTACTCAGACTCAGAAGTCCTTGCTTATTAATAAAGGACATTTGAGTAGACCTGCAGAAAGCTAGGGGTAGCCAGGAGGGTGTCTTAGGAGAGAAACTTTCAGGGGGAAGGAGGAGCAAATGAAAGGCTCTTAAGGCATTCTTTCCAGCCTTTGTGTCTTGTTAAAGAAGTGTCTAGGGGCCCTCCGATGGGATGGGAGGGAGCATGTTTGGAGCTGTGGCCCTGCTGCATATCCCTAAAAAAAATAGGTTCGTCACCAAGCCTTTGTCTGTCTGTCAAGCTTTGTCACATTTGCAAGACTCAGGGGACCCTCTGAAGACTCCTTCTAGCCAATTACCCACCAAACAAAAGGATTCAAGATTTGTCTGGGTTTTTATTAATTCCTTAGCCTTTGGGGAACGAGAACAAAGTCTGGGCATTACTCACAATCTCAATTAGCTTGGTGTCTGCCCAGTTGGGGGTTTTGCATAGACGATGTGATGTCATTGATATTCATGAATTCGAAAGCAAAAACTGCAGGGAGTATGGAGTGTTTTGTCTTGGAGATCCCAAAAGTTCCCTAAAAAGAAAACTGCTTTAGGAACCCATTTCTGGAAGTGTGTGTGTGTGTGTGTGTGTGTGTGTGTGTGTGTGTGTGTGTTTGGGGGGGTAGGTTGACTGTGGTCCAGTGCCTCCAGATCCCAGCAATATGAGCTTAACTGGAAGCCTAGCAGTGTGCAGGGCCAGCTCAGGGCACACACGTATGCATCCCTGATGTAGCATTCTCCAGTCTAGGTCAGTGAGTATCTATCCGGCCTAGATATCCTTCAGAGACTGCTTACCCTTCCGTATGCTATAGTCACACATGTAGCCGCAAATTCTCCCAGGGTACTGCAGGAGATTTAAGTTTTTGATAGAAAAATGTCCTCATCTGTCTTTAGGGCTGCAGCCTGTTTGGTGAATACAGATGACATCAAACAACTTCCACTCCCTACTTGAGCCCACCCTTCTAGGCCCCTAAACCCATCTTGGTATCCATTATGTGTTCTTTTCCTTTAAAAGGGCCCTACGTGGTATAAGAGTTAAACTGCACAAAACTTGGGTCTGCCCCTGCACTAGGATACCACGACTTTGCTTTAACGATGGGCCTTAGAAACTGCTTTCATGGAGTCAATGAGATGGCTTGCTGGGTAAGGCAGTTGCCACCAAGCCTGATGACCTGAGTTCAAACCCCAGGACCCTTACAGTCACAGGAGAGAATTCTTTCCTACATGTTGTCCTCTAACCTCTACACATTTATTGTAACACACACACATGCACACGTTTGAGTGCATGCACACACACACCCACATAAACATACTTCATAAAAATGTAATAATAAAAATAATAACCACAAAAGCATTGACTCCTCATTTGGGGCCTCAAGGTAACTAAAAGCAGACTGAAATCTTGGTAGCTCTGCCTTCATTTTGTGTCTGACTCCTTGCTTTGGAGCCAGAGTCCTGCCTGATTTTGCCTACGCATGTTCAAAATTTAAGGAGTGCCTGCACCTAACCTGTCTCATCACCAGGTCGAGGCTGAAGCCACAGAAATAAGCATCCTCCGAACACCTGGATTCCAAAAGCAGCAAGACCTCTCAAGACAGACCCCGCCCTAGGAAGGTCGATTATCCTCTAGGACACAGCTCCACCCCAGAGCAGCAGCAGAAATCAGGTCACATCCTCAGAGGTGACATCAGCAACAGCCCTGGCTCACCTTGCAGAAGCAAAGCTAGAGAGACAGAGGATTGTTTAATTATGCATGCTCCTGGCCTTCTTCCTGGTTTAGTTATGCATGCTTCTAGCCTCCTGCCACAATTCTTCCTGTCTTTCTTTTTTTGAGACAGGGTTTCTCTGTGTGTAGCCCTAGCAATCCTGGAACTCACTCTACAGACCAGGCTGGCCCCTAACTCACAGAGGTCCACCCTGCCTTTGCCTCCCTCCCGAGTGCAGGGTTTAAAGATATGCGTTCCCACAAGCCTGGCTCTTCTTGTATTTCAACCTACAGCTCTTGTCAGCATCCCAAGGATGAACTTGGAGTCATGGGTCTCCTTTTTCATCCCTTCTCCCAATTCATGAATTCAATCTCCTCTGGTTTTCACCATCACTGATCATCCTGGGGCAGGTGTCCAAACCTAGCCTGTTAGAGCTGCCAAAATGCAGGTTTTTGCCCTAAAAATTCTGCTACCATTTCTACTTTTTCTCCCTTAAGGCAGAACTTAAGAGAACAGAGGCAGGCAAAAAGAGGGAACAAGAAAGATAGTGGGCAAGTTCCTACATTATGAAACTGAGTTCACCCCAACGCCTGGCTTTGTGTTTAACAGAAAAGCAGTTGTTTCTCTGCGGCATTGTTCATTTTGCTGAAGCTGCTGACGAAGCTGCTTGTACTAGACACGTGTGTCACATGCTTCCTGGCAGAAAGCAGGAAGTACGGGGCATCCTACTACATCATGCTACCCAAGGGGAAGGGTTTCTGAGGAAGCGGGAGCATGCAAACAGGAACTATTTTCTTCCTCCCCTCTTGTGTTCACTGATGTATAAATGGCTGCTCTTCCTGTATCTCCAGTGTCCTGGCATGGCCCTTTCTCTTTCTACTTAGCATGAAAATATGACCTTATCACATAAACAGCTAATAAACACAGGCTCCAGACTCTCAGGAATTTGCTGAGCCTCAAAATACTCAGGCAATGAGTGGATGAAGCATATACTTTCTGCCCAGAGGATTATGGGAAGTGGATCCTGCTCCAGTGTCCCTGGTCTTCCCTGTGGTGTCACCTTGCTTATTAGTTGTGTTGTGACCGCTTCTTGTTCTCGTGTATTTGTTTACTGTTAAGGCAAGGCAGTGAAGGTGGAATCTATGCATGGGGATGTGTCCAGTTTTCAATTTAACATGGTAGATATCGTGATATCTATTTAATGTGGCAGAATCCACTCTTCTATTCACGCATTATATTTACTTAATAGCAGTGCTGGTGAGGTGGCCGAGCAGGTAGGGCCACTTGCTCTACAAGCCTGGTGACCTGAGTTCAATCCCTGGAAACCACAGAAAGGCAGGAGATAACCAACTCCACAGAGCTACCCTCTAACCTCCACGTGTGTGCCATGGCACATACACTCCACTGTCTATGCACACACATGCACAATAGTGATATAAGCTTTTAAAAAATGTGTGTTTTGTGTGTGTAGGTGTTTTGCATCCATGTGTCACTGCATCACAACTATGCAGTGCCTGTGGAAGCCAGAAGAGGGCACCAGATCCTTTGGAACTGGAGCTACAGACTGTCATGAGTCCCCACCAATGGATGCTGGGAATTTAATTAGGTCTCTGAACAAGCACCAAGTGAACTTAAACCCTGAGTCATCTCCCTGGCAGCATAAATAAATAAATAAATAAATAAATAAATAAATAAATAAAAATTTAAGACTATCAAGGGACAGAGAAATGGCTCAATGGTTCAGAGTACTTCCTGTTCTTGCAGAGAACTCTAGCTTTGTCCCCAGTACCTGCCCCCCCCCCACGGTGTAGTGACTCATAAACACCTGTCCCTCCAGCTCCAGAACAATAGATCCTGAATCCTGCATCTGCGCCCCCATGTGCACATCCCCACGCAAAGGCACAAATTAGCACTCAATTTACATTTTAAAAATTAATTTATTTTTATTTGTATGGTGTTTTGCCTGCATGTCTGCCTGTTCACCCCTTGCCTGCAGTGCCCACAGGGGCCATAAGAGGGCATCAGAACCCCTAGGACTGGATAAGACACCATGTGAATAGAATTTGAACCCAGGTCCTCTGGAAGAGCAGCCAGTGTTCTTAATCATTGAGCCATCCTTCCAGCCCCACATAATTACATTTTTTTAATTTTAAAATATAATCCTTACCAGGTATTCTCTTATACTTCTGGAAATAAAATAAGAACAGGGCAGCAGCCTTATGATCCCCCATGGAGTATAGGCTCCAAAGCTGCACAGAGAAAGCCTGTCTCAAATATCCCCCCCCTCAAAAAGCAGATAAAGATAAAGGTGACCTGTAGAACCCAGAGAGACAAAAACAAACACTTGACTAATGGGTCTTTCTTACCCTCCTACCTCTAAGTCCTCCACACCCACAGCAAGTCACAGGTAGTCAGTCACCCAAGGCAGGCTCAGCAGACTTACTCTGGCACCTCTCCGAAGCCTTCCAGAGGCTGAGCTTCAGCGGCATAGATCTTGGCGTAGTATCTGGCAGTATTCTGAACGTAGCATTCCTGTATCCCCCAAAGACATAGCAATCCAGATGGTTAGAAGAATTCAGAGTATTGCTCAGCAAGACGATTCCTGTTTCTGAGATTGGTCAGATGAATAGATTCCTAGGCCCCATCATATTGCCCTTTGTTCAAGGGGATTTTTTTTTTTTTTTTTTGCCTTGGGGACCAACATGATCACAGCCCATTGGACCCCAGGTGACAAAAAGGAGTGTTCCTGAGCTGAGCCCAACTCCTTCTGAGGACCGAGAAGCCAATGTTGTCCCCCAAACATTCAGCCTTAATCCTCACCCTAAAGAAGCCAAATGCCCATATGGAAATACTCTCTCATTTTCATCTCATGATGCACTTCATTCTTTCACCCAGAGAGCCACGCTTGCTCCCTTTCCCACCTGAGCAGCGAGTTTGTAGTTCCTCTGCACAAGTTCATCGTTGTTTCTGGTCCCATGGGCAACAGCGTTGTGCACCTTGAGCACACATGCGTGGCCGGGCTGGAAGACCGGCATGAGGCCCTGCATCACCGTGCTACGGAAAGCTTTGCGGTGCACCCCTTCCCCGAAGTGAAGCTCCTCCGTGGAGATCTGGCCACGCAGATGGTCCCCGAAGTAGCTGTCATTGAAGACGTCCTCTTTGAAGATGAGCTGGCTGAATTCTATCTCTTCGCATCCTACAACACAGCACAGCTTTCAGTGGGCGGGGTCATCTCCAGTCCTAGTCTGTGATTTAACTACAATCCCTTTATAAGGATAAAGACAGCGGGGCAGGACAGGCTCCAAAGCTGCACAGAGAAAGCCTGTCTCAAACCCCCCCCCCCCAAAAAAAAGAGATAAAGATAAAGGTGACCTGTAGAACCCAGAGGGACAGATCATGGTTAATGCCGTACAAAGACAAAGTTAACAGGAGTGAGGAGAGAAACCATTGAAGGAGAACAGGCTGAGGGCTGTTGTGTACAAGGGGAGGTTGGCTGGAACAAAGTTGGGGAGTCCAGGAAAGACTTTTGTGTATCTGGAAAACAAAAGCAGAGACATGCAGAGTAACCAGAAGCAAGACTAAAGGATGGTGAAACAGAAGAGCAAAAAGCACCATTGAGGAGATCCGGCAGCACTTGTCTCTCAGCCCTTCCTTCCTTCCTTCCTTCCTTCCTTCCTTCCTTCTCCCTCCCTCCCTCCCTTCCTTCTCCCTTTCTTCCTTCTTTTTTCCTTCTTTCCTTCCTTCCTTCCTTCTCCCTTCTTCCTTCCTTCTCCCTTCTTTCTTTCTTCCTTCCTTCTTTCCTCTCTTCCTTCCTTCTTTCCTTCCTTCCTTCCTTCCTCCCTCCCTCCCTCCCTTCCTTCCTTCTCCCTTTCTTCCTTCATCCTTCCTTCCTTCCTTCCTTCTTTCCTTCCTTCCTTCCTTCTCCCTTTCTTCCTTCTTTCCTTCCTTCCTTCTCCCTTTCTTCCTCCCTCCTTCCTTCCTTCCTTCCTTTTCTTCCTTCCTCCCTCCCTTCCTTCTTTCCTTCCTTCCTTTCTTCCTTCCTTCCTCCCTCCCTTCCTTCTTTCCTTCCTTCCTTCTTTCCTTCTCCCTTCCTTCCTTCCTTCCTTCCTTCCTTCCTTCCTTCCTTCCTTCCTTCCTTCTTCCCCCACTCCTTGACAATCATGCTGTGCAGCCCAGGCTGGCGTGGAATTCACAATTCGTCTGCCTCAGGCTCCTAAGTACTCCTATTACAGTCTGTAATATCACAGTGTTGGCTAGACCATTTCTAAATCATGATTCTAGGGATTTTGTTGCTAATTTGTTGCCTTTTGAGACGGTGTCTCATATGACCAGGCTGACTTCAAACTCACTATCCAGCTGAGGCAAGACACACACACACACACACACACACACACACACACACACACACACCAGAGCCAGGGGCACAGATACAACCATCACACCCAGCAGTCTCAGTCTCTTGCTTTCTGTGTACTGGACACTAGAATATTTTGATTATCTCCAATGGCTTGTTTTCCAGAGGTCTCAGTTATTTTCTTTGCTTTAAATGCCACGCAGCACATCTTCCAGATGCTCACCCGATATGACCACCAATGCTTCTCTCTCCTGAAACTGGTCCAGGGTGCTATGCTGTGGCAGAGGTTGTCTACGCTTGTGCTGATGCAGGGCTGGCAGCAGGGGTGTGTGGAGCTGCTTTGTTGCTGTGTGCAGTTCTTCCCAGCAACCACATCTTGTTAAGAAGTGGCTGTGTGGGGGTAATTTAGATCACGGGCCAGCACAATGGGTAGGGTAGACGGTTACAGGTTGAAAAGGCATTTCCCCAGAGGGATTACCACACGACTCGGGGAGCCCACGGGTGTGAATTCGTCCCACCTTGACTAAAAGTCAGAGAGCTCAGGCCTAGTCTTGCTACTTCAAAGTATATGAGAGGAGGTTTGGCCTAAGGTGTGGTTACTAACAGGATGTTTTGACCTAGGGTGTGGTTACTCGGTGTTTGGGGTATTGAGAAGGTAATTACTTGGTTTATTCTTTGTATCTTGGTAAAGAAGCCTTTTGACGTTCCCCTCATTTCTGGATGAGGGTACATAAAGCCTGTGAGAAATAAACGCGAGGCGAATTTCAGTATTTACTAGATGCCTTCCCGACTCTATCAGCTATCTCTTGTCTATTTCTTTCTTAATCCTCACGCTTCCCTTCAAGTGCAGACGAATAAGCCAGGCAGGACCCCGCAGATGTCTCCCCAGTGAAGATACAACACAGGACACAACAAGCTCAGAGTGCACCAGGCTATGGGAACTCAGTGCATAGCCTAGGGGCAGCATGGATGTCTATGAGCAGCTATTAGACTATAGAACACCAAATGCGCTGAAAGACAGCACAAAAGCAAACACATCTTTATTTTTTTTATTAGAATGCAACGAAACAAGGTTATATTCTGCTTAGCTGAAAAGAAAACTGAAGAATCAAAACGTAACCATAACCGACTAGAAAGTTCCATGCAAGCAAGATTTATGCCTAGAAAAAAATTTCAAGTCCAAACTCCCCCGGACAATTTTCCAAAACTGCATGGCTGCAGTTCAGTTTTTTTCCACAAACAATACATTTCTAGGTGTTTGAAATCTACTGAAATTATAGCTGGGAGAATGGCCCCTCTAGCCCCATGGAAACGGAACCTAAGCCATCATCACGGGCATCTAAGGTAGCCCTTCCTGGGAGAGAGAAGAGTGCACTTGGTCGGGAGAGTGCACAGAGCAATGTGTGTTCGAGGAGCTGGCTGTGTTTTGATGGGGAGCCCACTCTCTGCCAGGTCAGCTGACGTCACTTACCTCTATATTCTGTGCGACTGGAAAGCTGTTTGAGAACTAGAAGGAAACAGAGAGACCAGAGTCAGGACAGGCGTCCCTCTGAGTTGGCAGGGGCCTGGGGCTTTGACGAGCAGCCGAGAAGAAGCCGAGGTTTACCTTCTGCTGTGAGGTTAAACTCAGCAGTGACTTTTCCATAACTGTTCTTGAGGCAGCAGTAATAGAGGCCCTGGTCCTTCTGACCAGCTTGGACGATGGCCAAGGAAACACTGGAGTTGTCCCCTGCGCTGGAATAGGGGACATTAATATTCACATGCTTCAGCATTCTGGAGTTCTAGCATTCTCAAGAAGGAAGGAGTTAAGGTCTTCCTGCCCTGTGCTTGCAGCCATCGGGCTGGCTGATAGACCAGATTCCCCCAATCTGCTAATTAAACAACGTATTTACACATAGAGAGGATCACTGCATTGCGGTTTAATAGTCTTTTACTTTTCTTTCTTTTTTATTTTATTATTTTTTTTATTGTTATTGTTTCTTGAGATGGGGTTTCTCTGTGTAACAGCCCTGGCTGTTCTAGAACTCATTTTGTAGACCAGGTTGGCCTCAAACTTACAGAGCCTGCCTCTGCCTCCCAAGTGCTGGGATTAAAGGCATGTGCTACCACCACCTGGTTTTGGTTTAATAGTCTTACTCCAACACACAATAAGAATGCACAGAAACATTCTGGGGGGCTGACATCAGGACAGTCAGAAGGGCGAGTGCTAAAATCTGGGAGCTGCGGTTGCATAGCTTCGACTTCATCTGAATTAGGTTGACCATACAGGTATCCTTGTATGAGAGAAGTCATTGACTCTAAACCCAAACCTAAACATAGACACACTAAAAATCTAAAGAAAGTGGCTCCTAGCTTTACCTGAGGGTTCAGAACTGAGGGCTCCTACTTGGTAGGTGATTTTTGCTTTGAGATGGGATCTCACTATGTTGGTCTCAAATTCCAGGCCCCAAGCAATCAATTCTCTTGACCCAGTCTCCCTTCAAATATGGTCAGGGTCCTTTTAAATAATGTACATTTAGTGACTATGTGTATCCCTTCATCTGCCTGCCCAATATTAATAATTACTAGTTCCTATGAATACAAAACCTGATGGCATGGTGGATAAAGATGATGGGGACCATGGTGATGACAATGATAGCAGTGACAGATAATGTATCATACTTGCTAAGTATCAGGCAAATAAAAAAAAATCATCTTCATGTCATCCTCAGAACAGTTTCAGAGACCCACAAGCCCTGCTGCCGGTCCTCAGATGACGAGGGAACTGAGACACTAAGAGATGGAAGCTTGACCTTAGGCTGGCTCCCCCAGGAACTTCTGATTCCTGCCCTTCAGTCGGGGATAATTACGCCAATGGTTAGAGCTGCTGATGTGGGAGTGTCATATATCAATCTGTTGATTTCGTTGGCTAAGTAATAAACAAACTGCTTGGGCTCATAGCTTAGAACATAGGTGGGTGGAGAAAAACAGAACAGAATGCTGGGAGGAAGAGGAAGTGAGCTCAGAGACGCCATCCTCTCCTCTCCTGGGCAGACACACGCGATGAAGCTCCGACCCAGGATGGACGTAGGCTAGAATCTTCCCGGTAAGCGCACCTTGGGGTGCTACACACAGATGATTAGAAATGGGCTAAATTAATATGTGAGAATTAGCCTAGAAGAGAATGGGCCAAGCAGTGTTTAAATGAATACAGTTTGTGTGTTGTTATTTCGGGCATAAGCTAGCAGGCGGCCGGGGTGCTGGGGATGCAGCCCCGCCGCTCATATCACTACAAACTGCAGTTTTTATTCAAAAACTGGAAACAATGTGCTTTACTACAAAGCTATACTAAAACATTGCAGTTGCCTCCTCCCACGAGGATGGCAGACAGGGTGCACTCCCGTTTGGGTTTGCCTCATAGTTTGACCGGCACCCATTCATCCAGGTTTGTCTCAGTTGCTCTCTCAACACAAGGCTTTGTTTTGGCTGCTTTTTTCAGTAGACTTCAGCTCTTTGACTGGTACCACCCGGAGTAGACCAATGGTTGAAAACAAGGCCCACTAAATCCTGTCACTTTCTCCCCTGTTCTCCCTCCTAGGTTTGTATAGCCTGCACAGCAACAGTCATGGGAAGGGGTAATAAGATCCCCCTAAAAGGCTGGGGTTAAACTCAAGGAAATTGTCCCATCAGCATCACCCTTGAAGCTCAAGAATTCTCTGATTCTTGGTACAGATTCAGGAAGACCCCATCTGTCTTGCTGTTTTCTCTCATTGCTCCAGTTCCTTGTGGGAAAAAAGACTGAGAACTCAGAAAGGCCTGGATTCCAATCCTGTGGTGAATCTTGGACACACTACTTAGCCCCACCCTCAGCTTCCAGCGCGTGAACCCAGAAAAAACAATGTTGCTTGCTGACTGGAATATGGGGAGCGGCAGACACCAGGCATGTGAGTCTCTAACAAAAGGCCTCGCCTTGTTCGTGTGTCATGAGGGTGGGGTTCAGTAGTGTCAATGGGCTTTCTCCATGAGGAAAACCACTTTTTAATGTCCCAAAGAGGGCCGTTCCATGGTTAGTCATGGGGATTCAGTGATGGGGAAGAAAAGCAGCCATTAACTCAGAGGAAATACGGCAATGCCACTGTGGAAAGCAAATGAGATCTGTGTCTTTTGAGTCAGAGAGGAGAGCTGAGTCCTATCTGTTACTCTGTAAGGAAGGAATCCCCATCGTTAGGGCAGCCGGGCTACACAAACAGAAGATGCTCAGCTGTGAAGACGAATGTCAAAGGTGTCCACACCAAGGGTGTGACCAGAAGCACACAGCCAAAGGTGAAACTGGCTGGACAGAGAGAAGCCTATCTCAGACTCCTCAGAGAACTACATTTTCCAACCCGATTCCCAAGGAACCGGAGGCAGCTACCAGCATCCCCTCAGCACCCAACCTGGGCTGAACAGTGCTCGGTTTTTCCTCTCCAGAATCATTTGATGGGGATGTACCTTCAGTAACACCCAGTTTGTTGTTGCCTGGAGTCCGGCATAAAGACCTCACCCAGTTATCAGCTGGACCACTCCCTGTGCATGATGCTTCCTGCAAAATCTCATGACACTCCCAAGCATCTATTTTTCCCAGGGAGGAGAGTGGGTTCCTAGTAGCCAAAAGAGTCTGAATGGCCACATGAGCCTTAGAGACTGCCAACTTGAAAGCTCCCCGGAGCCAAGACACATCACTACCACACACGCATACAGTGCCTGCCACTGCAATTTTTTTTTACTTATTTATATATTTTTGTGGTGTGTCTAGGGTCTACAAGCCCTGCCCACAAGAACACGTTTTGACTCCCAACTTCCAAACTGTAGCCTGTAAGGAAACTACCTAAAACTGGACAGAAGCCAGAGGCGACTGCATGTCCCTGGTAGGTCACAAGTCACCACAGGCTTACTACAAGGTGACTTTGCTTATAGGAGATTGTCCCTGCATTTGCCTTCGCTGTATACTATTTAAAATAGAACACATCCAGCTCTATGCAGTGGTACAGCCTGTACTGTCAACTATTATAGGGATAAGTCCCGCCCCTAAGGGGGCGTGTTCGCCTCGGGCTAATGTTTGCCTATAAATTTGACGAGCATGCTCCCAGCCCTGGCTTCTGCTTTCCTGGTCTCCGCTGGAACGGTGGTTCAGTAAGTCTATTTCTCCACAAAAGCTGTATATATATTTTTACAATCTGTCTGCATTCGCTTACGTCGTTACAAACTATGAAGGAAGTTGAAACAGAAGGACTGTAAGTTCAGGACCAGCCTGGGCAACTAGTGAGATCCCAGCTCATGAAACAAAAATGGACAATAAAAGATCTTCCCAGACAGGTTTTTTTTTTTTTTTTTTTTTTTTTTGGATTTTCGAGACAGGGTTTCTCCGTAGCGTTTGGTTCCTGTCCTGGAACTAGCTCTTGTAGACCAGGCTGGTCTCGAACTCACAGAGATCCACCTGTCTCTGCCTCCTGAGTGCTGGGATTAAAGGCGTGCGCCACCACCGCCCGGCCTTCCCAGACAGTTTTGAGTTAATGTATTGACTTAAAGGTTTCTGTACTGGGGGGCTGGAGAGATGGCTCAGTGGTTAAGAGCATTGCCTGCTCTTCCAAAGGTCCTGAGTTCAATTCCCGGCCACCACATGGTGGCTCACAACCATCTGTAATGAGGTCTGGTGCCCTCTTCTGGCCTGCAGACATGCACACAGACAGAATATTGTATACATAATAAATAGATAAATAAATAAATAAATAAATAAATAAATAAAGGTTTCTGTACTGAAGAAAAGATAACTCACAAGTTTAGTGCCTGTTAAACATAGCTGACCTCATATTTATTTGAAAATACTTCTACATCCTTTTACCTTATTGGCTATTTACATCTTCATTCCTCAAATGCCCATTTGAACAGTTTTACCATATTATTTATTCCCTTCTCATTTGATGAGTTTAAGACTTTTGCTACGTTAAATTCACATTTGAGAGAATTCACCTCTTTGAAATCTATACCTTGGCAAATGCTATAATTTGTGTATTGAATGTCCTCCACAAAGTGCGTATGCTAAAGATTTGTCCCCAGGGTGGTGCTAGTGGGTCCTTTAGGAGTTAAGGCATAGAAGTTGGTCTTTAAGCTAAAAATATAAAATGGAAAAAAGAAAGCATATTCAACAAATGGTGCTGGCATAACTGGATATCAACATGTAGAAGAATGAAAATAGAACCATATATATCCCCATGCACAAAACTCAAGTTCAAACGGATCAAAGACCTCAACATAAAGCCAACCACACTGACCCTCATAGAAGAGAAAATGAGAAGTACACTTGAATGCATTGGCACAGGAGATCACTTCCTAAATATAACCCAGCAGCACAGACACTGAGAGAAACAATTAATAAATGGGACCTCATAAAACTGAGAAGCTTCTGTAAAGCTAAGGACATGGTCAATAAGACAAAACGGCAGCCTACAGAATAGGAAAAGATCTTCACCAACTCCACATCAGACGGAGGACTGATCACCAGAATATACAAAGAACTCAAGACACTTGACATCAAAAGAATGAATAATCCAATAAAAAATGAGGTACAGACCTAAACACAGAACTCTCAACAGATGAATGAATCTCAAAGGGCTGAAAGACACTTAAGGAAATGCTCAACATCCTTAGCCATCAGATGCAAAAAAAAAAAAAAAAAAAAAAATCAAATGCAAATCAAAACAACTCTGAATGGCCAAGATCAAAAACACTGATGGCAACTTATGGAGAGGTTGTGGGGTGAGGGGAATTCTCCTCCATTGCTGGTGGGAGTGCAAACTTGTACAGACGCTTTGGAAATCAGTATGGCAATTTCTCATAAAATTAGAAAACAATCTACCTCAAGACCTCAAGCAATACCATTGTTGGTTATATACCCAAAAGATGTTCCATCATACCATAAAAACATGTGTTCAGTGCTCAACTATGTTCATAGTAGGATTATTTGTAATAGCCACAGAACCTGGAAACAACCTAAATGCCCCTCAACTGAAGAATGGATAAAGAAGATGTGATACATTAACACAATGGAATACTACACAAGGGTAAAAAATAGTGACATCTTGAAATTTGCAGGCAAATAGATGGATCTAGAAAAAAAAACATATTGAGTGAGGTAACCCAGATCCAGAAAGACAAATATAATATGTATTCACTCATAAGTGGCTTTTAGACATAAAGCAAAGAAAAGCCAACCTACAGGCCACTACTAGAAAAGAAAGAGGACCCTAAAAAAAAAAAAAAAAAAAAGAAAGAGGACCCTAAGGAGACATACATGGATCTACATAGGAAGGTGAAAAAGATAAGATCTCCTGAGTCATAGGGGTTAAGGGAGAGGGCAGAAGGGGAGAGGGCTGTAAGGGAGGAGAGTGGAGAAAAATATATATAGCTCAATAAAAAGCAATTAAAAACAGAAGTTGATCTTTATATTTTTGAGGACATGTCCGTCCGGGATCGCAGCACTTGAGCCTGTACTCTTAGCTATGACGTCAGCATTTCACTCTAACACAGGCCTTTCCCCTCTCACTGGCATCGGAAACACCCATCACAGACCCGGAGTGACAGGTCTGCCAAGTCCTAGATGTGACCTCTACAGTGGTGAGATAGATAAGCTTCACTATGAGGAAGTTATCTCGGGTTATTTCACTAGAATGATGGAGAGTCAGCTGACGCAATAAGGCCCTGAGCTACTTCAGGTAGGGACGGATAAACATCACGTACTGAGCTGGACGTAAGGGTGAGAGGAATTAACAAGCTTTTGAAAACCATCTGAAATCATGCAAACGATTTGTCTATGGACAGAGGAGTTGAGACTTACAAACTTTCTCAAGTAGCAATATGAACACAAATTGGTCTAAGCTATTTCTAAGAAGAAACAAAGCAAATGTTACAAAGACGTCAAAGGCCTTGACTGCTTGCTAGTGATATGTGTTCCCTAGAGGGAGGCTGGGATTTGGGGAATATTCCGTAGATACAAAGAGGACCTGGGAAGTGCCAACACTTATCTGAGCCTAGAATGAGAAGAGTTAATTAAACAAGGCGGGAAGTGCTGGTTAATTGTTCTTGATTGACACTTTCAGAGAAGAATTAAAATCAATAATGAGTGCATTAGAAGTGAAGCTCTAGGGGCTGCCAGGATTTACAAATCAAAGCACTTCTTTGCTATTATAATTGTTTTTAAGCCAAGTACAAGACAGGCGGGGTAATGGGGAACATTCGAGAAATTAGTCTCCAGACATTCGTTCCAAGCAGGAATATTTGACTGAATATAGGGGTTCATATTTCCCACCTTTTCAGTCTGTTCCTGTTGAGATCAAAAGGATAGGAATACCCCCAAGGACTCTGGGAGCTTTCCCGGGACCTCTCTGGGCTGAAAGAAGCTCTTGGGAGCTGCTTAAGTTACACTGACCTCCATTGATTTGTTTGGAGGACTTGTCAGATGAGCCAGGACTGCACGGGTTTTTTGAACAGGCATTCCTTCATTCCTGGGACTGATTTAAGGAGCTGAGTGGGCTGGCCTACATGATGTGTTTTGGCAATGACGCTCACACTCACCTCCTTCTCTGACTCCTGCGACAACTTAAGGACCCGGGTATAATATGCTCTTTCTGTCTTAAGGGAAGCTGTTTCTCTTCCTCAAAAGCTTTACTTTTCTGTGACCTTGTGGCACTCCTCCACCCCTGTCTTCTCCTTAGCTTTATTTGACCTTTGTTAGATTAATGGGGGGTTCTGAATCAGAAAACATCCATAAATAAGAGTTCCAGAGAGTTTTGTAACCTTAGGCCCGGTAGGCCTGGAGGCCTTCAAACTAGAATGTCACACTGCATCCTGACTGAAAACTGGAACCAGAGAGCCTGCAATTCCCAGGATGCACAACTCAAAGAAGGCAGAGCTGAAGCAAGAGCCAGCCGCCATGTTCCCTGTTGGGACACTGGGCGCCACTCTTCCTCTTGGATACTGGGTTAACCTTTCTTCACTCTGACAGAAATGTCTGACAAAGACTTCCTTTTGACTTGAGGTTTCAGGTCGTGGCCAGTTGACTCCATGTTTCTGGGTCTCTATCAGAGAAGAAGGGCATGGAGGCTGGAAGCCCTTACTTCATGGCAGCCAAGAAACAGAGAGACAAGAGCCACAGACAAGGCGCCTTCAAAGGCACACCCCAGATAACCTGCTCCAATCAGGCCCCACATCCGAGATTCCACCACCTCCCAGTAACGCCACCAAGTTAGGAAGCCATCGGAGGACTGGCCAGTTCTGTCAGAGCCCTCACTTTCTAATTCGTTCTCCAAAGCCCATCACCTGTCAATCAAGCCTTTAGCTCAGGAGCCTTTGGGGGGGGGGCACTTCATATCCAATGATGTTGGATACGGAATCTCTGCTTCAGCTTGCCTCTCCTTTCCTCTTATGGTTTTCTTTGACAACCACACTAAGTAAGAGGGCAAAAGTGAGTGGACGGTCGGGGAGGACAAGCGTCCTACCTTCTCTTGACCTGTGCTATTGACTGCGAATCTTTCGTCCAGCAGATGGTCGAATCTTCGTGGATCTCTGCAAACTGGCAGCTCAGCTTCACATTCCCAGAGCGGTCGGGAGCCATCTCAGCCTGGATCTTCTTCAGCAGCACTGGGGCTAGAAGCACATTTGCAGGTTAGGGTAGATGAGAGGCCTTCACACTCCACCTCGGTTATCAGCAACAGTCCTGAGAGACAGGGAGCAGGTCCCTAAATCACAAATGAAGCACCCGAGAGCCGTGGCTGCTCAAACGCACCCCTGGGGAACAAATGAAGCACCCTAATAGAAAACACTTCCTTTTCGTTACTTAAATTCCAAAGGTCTATAATGCTCCTAGCAAAATAGAGCTTGAGCTATTCTGGTTTTTGTTTTGTTTTGTTGTTTTGTTTGTTTGTTTTTTGAGACAGGGTTTCTCTGTAGCTTTGGAGCCTATTCTGGAATTAGCTCTTGTAGACCAGGTTGGCCTCCAACTCACAGAGATCTGTCTGCCTCTGCCTCCCGAGTACTGGGATTAAAGGTGTGTGTCACCACTGCCCAGCTTATTTCTGGTTTTTAATTTAGATTTATTTAACTTTATATGCACATATATCTGTGCACCGTGTGTGTGCTTGGCGTCTGCAGGGGTCAGAGGAGGCCATCAGATTCCCTGGAACTAAAGTTATAGATGGTTGTGAACCTCCGTGTGAATGCTGGGAATTGAACCTGGGTCCTCTGCAAAAGCAGCAAGTGCTCTCCAGCCCAAAATGTGTTTTTCTTTAAGAGGAGAAAGGTCCAGCAGATTATAGAAGCCTAGTCTGTAGGATTTGGCCCAAATAAGATACTGTTAAATAATTACCTGATCAAAATCAGAGCTGGTGATTCAGCAGTGGAATGAAATTGGCACTATCAAGGTAAGTGAGGTTAAGACCCCAAATGTAAAAGACAACTCAATAATAAATTATCTGTGGGATAAAATTCATTCACACATGCACACACACAGTGCAGCTGTCTGTGAAGATGGTCTGGTGAACTGGACATGTGTGTTTGGCATCCACCTCACTGCAAAAGCGATGTCTATCTGGACGGAGCAGAAATAGTGAGGCGATGACTCCCGCAGGATGGGCTGAGATGTGAGTTTGCCTCTTGAGTTTAACCTGAGATGAGTGGAGGTTCTTATGAGCAAATGTGTAATTGGGAAGGGCAGCCACTCGGTGGCGGTATTGGCATTAGAATGACAGGAAGCCTGCGTGACCCAGCTGAGAGAACAGTTCATCAGACCTGTGGCTGAGGGAGTGTGATCAATTCAATACAGTCCAGGTGGGGCAGAGTGCTGCGGCGTTGGCAATACAAAAGAACACATCATCACAGAATGCTGTCTGGTCCACAGGCCAGCCAGAAGTACCAATTCAAGGCCTGGCTCACTCGGCTGCCTCGAAGTTTGCTACAGTGGATGTGCTTCGTTGTTTCCAGTTTTTCCTCAACCCCACAGATAATAAGATATCAGAAGGAGATTTAAGATCAGACTCTGGACGCTGGAAGTGGAAACGGGCTGGCTGAGTCGTAAATCCCTCAACTAGAGCCTCCATGAGGTTGCTGCCAATGTTATGGGAGCTGATCACATTGTGGTATGGCGAGGAGGGAGGAGGGTATAGCACAGGGGCAGAGCTGAACGACACAGTCAGCCAAGACCATGTTCGTGTGGCAGACAAGTAGAAACGCCACCTCTGAGCAAAGGTGCACTAAGTTTACCTTCTGACCAGCCTGGTTGAGGGAAGACAATAAAAAAAAAAATCCTCGGCTACAGAGCCAGCTTGATGGAGTAAAGCCTCTTGTTGCCAAGCCTGACACCCGAATTCAATCCCTGAGCGCCCCCCCCCCCCGCCCCCGGCTCCGTGGAAGGCAAGAACTGACTTCTGGAAGCTGTCTTTACACACATGCACACACGTGCACGCACGCACACACATGCACTCATGAAAGTATGCACGCACACACACACACATGTAAATGTAATTTGAAAAGACTCTCCTGTTATACAGGAAGCTTCCACTGCTCTAAGCTTTGGATGCCCCTTGGCACCCAGGGTCCATTTTATTTCTCTCAGGATCACCTGAATGCATTTACCCGCCGCATATCCCACCGTGTCACAGGGGGAGGGCATTAAATCAGGGTTGCTCGGAAGGAGAGCACCAGGCTGCTGGGTCCACACAGTCAAGGCAGTACCCAGCTTCATGTGACCCACATAGACTGGAGATGAGGACCCAGGTCTCACAAAGCCAGCCCCCTGCACCAGAACTGAAGACCTCTCTGTTGTATTTTCCTAGTGGGCACATTAAACAGCAGGCCAAAACCAGGAAAAGCTAGAAAGCAAAACCAAGACCTTTGGAGTGCTCACTGCCGAAGTAGGTTTTTTTTTTTCCTGGTTTTTCAAGACAAAGTTTCTCTGTGTAACAGCCCTAGCTGTCCTGGAATTAGCCCTTGTAGACCAGGCTGGCCTCCAACTCACAGAGATTCACCTGCCTCTGTCTCCCAAGTGCTAGGATTAAAGGGATGTGTGATACTGCCCAGCCAACAGTTTTCCTGTAGCTTTGGAGCCTTCCTGGAATTTGCTCTGTAGGTCAGGTTAGTTTTGAACTCACAGAGATCTGCCTGCCTCTGTCTGTTGAATACTGGGATTAAAGATGTGTGCCCTCACTACCTGGCTCATGAAGTAAATTCCTCACTGACAGAAGCTCGTACACAGTAATTAGAACTAATTATAAAAAGAAGGTCTTGTCAAGGGCAGAGTTTATGAAGCAACCATCCCATAATAGTAAATCATTTCCCAGGTCATTGATCTTCATCTGTGTATTGACTCTTCAGACTTCTGCTTCTTTAGGGGTGTGGAATGGGCATGGCTGAACAGTCCCTTAGGCCGAATGGGAGGGATGATGCCAAAGTCTTTGAGGCTCAAAGGGACTGAAACCTGCGTAGATTCGGGTACTGGAGACAGGAAGTTGGGAAGAAATTTTATACTTAAATTTGGAAGAAAAACCAAGGTTCCCTTGAGTTACACTTAACAATTAAAAAAGAGAATCTCAAATTGGGTTGAAATGTTTCTTTGTGTCCCCTGCTCAGCATGTGGTCGTTTTAGTCTTACAGATTTGCTACACCAGTGTCAATGCTCATCTTTTAAAGGAGATTTCTTAAAGAGATAATTAAACCACAAAGCATCTTCGCCACATCCCCCTCCATCAAACGCACCAGCAGGCAGCCTTGATGAGGGGTTCTCTGGTGTGCATCTCCTCTCAAGTCACCTGGGGACTGGGTACAAGTGCAGGTTTTTAAGGACGCCCCCGCCCAACATCAGGAACTGTATTGGTGCTCAGAATCCTGCGTTTGAACAAGCTTGCCAGAGAAATGATGCCTGCCTGCTCAAGTTTGAGAACCTTGGGACCCTTGGTCACAGCCGTGACATCCACACCCACCCACCCACCGGACGCTCACCTAAACTGACAGGGACACAGGAGGCTCACGCCTAGCCCTTCAACAATGCTAAAAGCAGCAAGGCCTCACCTTTGCCTTCCGCTTTGCAAGGGGCCTTTTGGGAGTCTTTTTTCTCATCAGTGTGGGACAGGGACTTTTCAAACTTGGGCGTTTTCTTCAGAATGGAGTTCTTTCTCATATTTTCCCTCTCCTCCAATCTGAGTCTCAGGGCTGCCACCCTGGAGAGAATTTTCTTCTTTACCCCTGCAGCCAAATGTCCACTCCCTGAGGCCTCTTGCTTTTTCTTGTCCTCCTCTGGCCCAGCCGTTGCTGATCGGGCCCCAGGTGCCTTGCTGGTGTGGGCCACCACATGCTTCTGCTGTTCCTCTCTGGACTTTTTCCTGCTAGCCTGGGCGGAGCCCTTTTGACACAGGTCCTTAAGTAATAAGCCTTCAGGGGCTTTCTCTGACTCACAGTCTCCTGAAACGAAAGCCAAGGTCTTTGCTGGGGAGTGGGATGAGGTTAGAGGTTTGGTTTCCACAATCTGAATCTCCTCCGATTTCAGTTCCTCAACGCCATGGCTTATTGACAAGCGTGTGACGTTTCCTTTGAGAGATGAAGTACATGGTGTGTGTGTGAGATCACTTGAAGAGGCCACAGGTTTCCCACACTCACTCTCCATGGCTCCTTTTTCCTTCCACGTAGGAAGTACATCTTGGTGGTTTCTGGGCACAGACTCACCGTGAATGTGGCTTGTGGTGTCATTGGTCTCAACCTCAACAGATGCAGGAGTCGCTCCTCTGAGACAACTAGAAAGAGATGGCATGGGGGAAATTAATTCGGCCTTGTCCTTTGTCACCTGCCCAGCCTCTCCTAGGCCTCGGTCACTGCCATCTTGGCTCATGTTGCATACGCTTGGAATTCTTTGTCTTTCTTCACCAGGACATTGGGCTTGACAAAGGGCAGCCTGGGCCTCTGCTTTTGCCTTGTCAGCCTGACTTTGTTTGGCATCTGCCTTCTCTCTGTCTATGTGATTTTGGTTGATTGTGCTTTCATTTGGAATGATTTCCCCACTGTTCTGGGGATGGGGAACCTGCAGGGTGGCGGGTTGGATGTCTGCCCTCTGACATGTGTATCTGTCGGTGGATTCATTCCCTTCTGTGTTGGAGTCGGAGGGCTCTGGCTTCTCAGACCAGACACACTCCATCCCACGTCTACCATCAATGGGATCCACAGAGGACTCCAGGATGCTAGGAACGTTCACAAACTGTCGAAAGAAGGCAGGGCCGCGTATCTTCCTCTCATTTCCTTCCTGGTCTTCATTCCTGGTTTCAACACTTTCTGTCTCCCCACTTTTGGAAGCCTCTAGTGGAGAGAATGTGACTTCCAACCCCGCTTCCTCAACAGGGTCTACGGACGACTCCAGGAGTCTGGGTTGGTCCAGACACTGGGAAGACAGACTGCTGTAATACGCGCATCTGGCTGGTGCCTCGCCTGCCCAGGCATCCCTGTTAGCACCTGCTCTTAGGATGTCAGACAGAGCCCAGCCCCTATTAGGGGCAGTGAGACCAACTTCTGCCTCCTTGGACCCATAATGCAAGGCTTGTTCTGGTTGCCAGGTTTCAAAATCAGGAGCTTCCAGCGTTATGATCTTCACTTTGCTGACCGCAGCCCAACTTCCTAGTCCTACATCTTCTTTTTCTTCAAGGAGGATGTCAGGGAGAGATGGAGCATTGCTTAGTTCATGTGATGGAAGTTGCTTATCATCTTCCATAGTGTTCTCAGCTGCCACTGAGACACTGGTCCTCGGGTCAGTGCTCTGCCCAATTTCTTCCCCGGAATCTGCTAGGGGGTGCTCGAAGGGTTCCGCTTTGACCTCCTGTTGCGTGCCAGGTATCGGGGGCAGATTTTCTTGGAAATCATTTGCAGAAAGAGAACGCTGGTAGGATGTGCACTGTTTTCTTTCACTTCCCTTTTCCTGAAAGTCCTCTTCAAGGCTTCCGCCATGGTCTCCCTCCACTAGCTGGCTCTTATACCCAGGCTGGTTATCAGTTTGAAAGGGAGCACTCCACAGATCCTGCCTCTCCGGCAGTAAGAAGTGGCCACAAGCTCCTGGAATACTGGGTGCTACGATAAACATCTCCCTGGTCATCTCACTAGTAGAGCTGCTTAAAGAACGGCCTGGCTGTATGTTGGAAAGAGATTCAAAATTATTTGCCTCTCGTGCCTCACATGAGGCCTGGTCATCACCATCAACAAGGTTGCTGTCCTCAAGAGCTGAAACGGTGTGACAACTGATGGTGTGGATGCTGGTGGCATCAGCTAATGTGTCCTCCTCGGTCTCCCTGGTCACCTGATGGCAATCAACACTAGCAGCTGATTCTGCTGATGGCTCTCTTGGGCATCCCCCGACTGAACTGTAATCAGGAAGCGTGTCTATGGCACCTGGAACACCGAGATTGGCGCTTTTACAGCCTCCTTCGCTAACATCCGCAAAGGAGCCGTTCTCACCAAGGGGCTGTGTCTCACCAAGCCCCCCGAAGTCGTAGAGTTCTGTGGAAGAGAAGATGGAGGGAGAAGTCCCCAGGTCAGATGGTGTTTCCCCCACAGCATCTCCGCTGGCCTCCTGCTGTGTGTCCCAGGTGAAGGCACTGTTAGAGAGTGGGGACTCGGCTGGCCGTGTGTCCCAGGTGAAGGCACTGTTAGAGAGTGGGGACTCGGCTGGCCGTGTGTCCCAGGTGAAGGCACTGTTAGAGAGTGGGGACTCGGCTGGCCGTGTGTCCCAGGTGAAGGCACTGTTAGAGAGTGGGGACTCGGCTGGCCGTGTGTCCCAGGTGAAGGCACTGTTAGAGAGTGGGGACTCGGCTGGCCGTGTGTCCCAGGTGAAGGCACTGTTAGAGAGTGGGGACTCGGCTGCGCTGGCCTCCTGCCGTGTGTCCCAGGTGAAGGCACTGTTAGAGAGTGGGGACTCGGCTGGCCGTGTGTCCCAGGTGAAGGCACTGTTAGAGAGTGGGGACTCGGCTGGCCGTGTGTCCCAGGTGAAGGCACTGTTAGAGAGTGGGGACTCGGCTGGCCGTGTGTCCCAGGTGAAGGCACTGTTAGAGAGTGGGGACTCGGCTGGCCGTGTGTCCCAGGTGAAGGCACTGTTAGAGAGTGGGGACTCGGCTGGCCGTGTGTCCCAGGTGAAGGCACTGTTAGAGAGTGGGGACTCGGCTGGCTTTCCATTCTTGCTGTTCTCATACATAGACTGGGGAGACTCAGAACCTTGCGTCTGAAGAACAGCCAGTGCCTTGTCAGTAGAACATAAATCACATTCTTTGCTTTGCCCTTCTGTCCGTTCCAAGTCCCCAGGGCAAATGTCTTCAGGCAAATATTTATCCGCTGGTGCTCCAACGGGAAGATCCATGGTATCATAACATGTTTCTTGGTCACCGGCTTCAAAACACCTGGTCACACATGCAGCTTCTCTGCCCCTTGCCCCACTGCCCACGTTTTCCAAGGTGAGGGAGGGAGCAGAGGACTGAGAGAAATGAGCCTCTGGCTCCTGGCAGTGGGCACTGTCACCTGGAGGGAGAGGAAGATGCCATGAGGAGGGAACCTGGGGCACTGCCTCATCGTTGCCTTCTAGGGTACTCCATTCATGTGCTCGTTCTGCCCAGAGAGCACCAGGCCTGTGGCCTTCTCTGCTTTGTCTGGCTTCCTGTTGGAGCCCCTGAGGAACGACTTCCAGGTCCAGGTGTTGGGCCAATGATGCATTCTCCTGGTTGATCTCACTCAAGCTGGAGACAACATTTGTTGTGGTCCCGGTGAATGAAGGTTCCTCCCCAGCAGGCAGGGAGAAAGCTGGCATCTGCTCGAGATCACTTCTCTCCCCGGTGGTTTCCTGGATTTGCAGCTGGAAAAAGGGAAAGTGGTATTAATAGGATGTTCCTGAGAAAGGCCACATAGGATTTATCTGCAGCCCCAGGGGTGCTAATCCTTGACAACCTTCACAAATGACAAGGCCCATAGCAAAAATGACTGAAATCAGAACATTAATCCCCAAACTCCCTCTGGCTAGTAGACACTTCCCAGGAAACTGCAAATTTAAACCACTCTAATCCAGGGGGACTCGTGCCCAGTCTCACCATGAGAAGCAAAAAGCCTCCTGGCAATCATCATGAGTTTAGTGATTTCCCCCTCTCCCTGAGGAAGAAAGATGGAAATAAAGGGAACGCTAAACTAGTTTGGAACAAATCACAGCAAGACCTGTGGGCATCTCTCTTGAGCGATGACTTTCACGTCACCATTACAAATGATACCAACACTGCTCACAAAGCAGCTATGGGCAACTTTTGTCCCCCAAATAGTGCAGCTTCCCGATTAATACTGTTACTGAAAGGCAGAGAGAAAGAGCGAGTCGGATATGGTGGTAGTCCATGCCTGTTATGTTAGTACTCGTGGGGCCAAGGCAGGAGGCTCACTTGATCTCAGAAGTTCAAGACCAACCTGGGCAACACAATGAGATTCCCGTTCCAAAAGTACATGCATGCTTGCAAAGGCGGTGAGAAAAGCCTGTTCCTCTAAAGGATTCTGAAGTGTAGAATCCATCCCTTTCCCCAGAACTTCAGAAAATAAAGCTGGAAAAGAGTAGAGCGAGGCCTGTCCCTGAAGCCTGCCTCCAGTGGAGCAAAGGAGATTCAATTGGCCACCTGCACTGCCAATCATGTCTGACCCAGACCAGATTGAAAATTCTGAACTTTTCATTCAGGCTTTGGGGCAAGAAACCACCTTCTCCAGAAGTAGGAGATGATTATGTAAGTTGTTTGGAGAAAGGGAAGGGGAAAGAAAGAAGGAGGGGGCTAGAGAGGGGCAGTGGGGAGGGGAAGGGAAAACTCCTACAGTCTAAACACTGAGCCCAGCCCAGCACTGTCTGAATAATGTGTGATTCTAGCTATTACTTAAGGAGAAAGAAAACTCTTGGCCATGTTCTTGTCTCTTGAAACTTTTAGCCTTTTGACCATTTCGGTCAGCTAAGAGGAGCAAAGGTAATTCTTGGGGAGCCCCTCCATCTTCGCCCCTGGGGACTCTTGCTTTGTAGAGCCCTACTTCAATGGGCAGAAGACAGAGAGAGCAGTCACTCTCCCAGCCTGCAAATAAGGTGAACCTGAAATGCTCATTGCCACAGGAAGTTCCAATCCAGAGGCTTATCGGTTAATTCCTGCACCTACTGCCAGCGGGAAGAGGGACAAAGCTCACCACACCTTTTCCCCAGGCCCCCGGGGTGCTCTCTGCCTAGCAGTGATTTCTCCCTTGTTTTCTTTTAAGCTTCTCCTGTGTCCAGTGAACTTGGATCTCATTGACATGAAAGTACAAACTGCATAAGAAGAAATTTATTATTGAGCTTCATAAGGATTAAGACTATTTACTGATCTAACCAATAGTCATTGAGTGCCTCCAACATACTAAGAAGTGGTCCAGGCAAGGACGTGTCTTTAGAGAGCGCCCATTCCATGTGTGATCAAGGCACACCGAGTAGAAAGCACACAATAGACATTCTGTGACTGTTTGCTGAAAGAAAGAATAAGGGAATTAAAAATGTACCAAAGGGGGCTACTGTGGCTCAAGGTCACCTGCGAAACCCCTAACTCTGCAAGGGTTTAGCTTTGAGCTTAGGGGCAGCCTTACTGTGAAGGAGACTTTTGTCAGGTTTCCACCTGCAATCCCTGAATTCGATAGGGGGAGTCAGGAGAATCAGGAAGAGTTTGAGGCCAGCCTGGGCCACATGCCTGTCTATCTCAGAGAGGGAGAAAGGCAGGCCAAGAGGCTCTAACCATAAACATCGTTCATTCGAATACCGGTGTTTCGAAAAAGAGAGTTCTTCCTGCTTCTGCCAGTCGTGATGGTACACACTGGTAGGATATTCTTAAGGATATTTACTCTTTTTCTAAATACTTTTTTAAAAAATCATCATATTAAGATAGAACATTGAAAATAGCAAAAGTAGTCTGGAGGAAGTGAGGAGCGCACACTTCATAAAGGTGTGCGAATTTTCGTAACAGATGAAGTGCTGTGCCTATGAACTAGCCATGGGCAACCTTTGTCCCTCAACCCACTGGGATGGTTTCCTCCCTGGGCCTGAGAACCTACGTATGGAGAGTATTCTTTTCATCTGCTCTTTGGCTCAGATTTTTTGTAAAGATATATGGCCAAAACTACCAAGTTATTAAGCACAGAAAGTTTGGCAGCTTCTGGCCAAAAAGGAGAACTTTAGAGACCTCCCTGTGAAAATACCACACCTTCCTCTTGGGCCTCTGTTCTGCCTGAACTCCCATGACCCATGTGCCTACCCACCCATGTCCCTTCCCACACAGATCTCTCCGACTCATGCCCCTTCTCATTCATGTCTCCCCGCTCATCCACCCTCCATGTCCTCCACCCATGTTCCCCGTACATATCCCCCATCGTGTGCCACGTCCATGTTCCTCCTATGTCTCCCCCCACCCACAACAGTCCTTTATTTTAAGGTCTTGCTATCATCATAGACTCATTAGTATCATGGACATTCTAGAAGTAGCTGCTGTGTAAATAATTAATTGCCCAACGGGCAGTGGTGGCGCACGCCCTTAATCCCAGCACTAGGGAGGCTGAGGCAAGCAGATTTCTGTGAGTTCAAGGCCAGCCTGGTCTACAAGAGCTAATTCCAGGACAGTTCTCCCAAAACTACAGAGAAACCCTGTCTTAAAAAACAAAAAACAAATAAATGAATTAGTTGCCCAACATCATGCAATTTCTTCCAAAGGACTCCATTTAGATCGTCTATCCTTACTCCTGCCTGGATGACTACTACATCAACAGAGCAATAGGCTTAATGGTGTAGGAGGGTCTTCTTTCTATGTGTTGCTTTCATTGGTTAAATAAAGAGACTGCCTTGGCCTTTTGATAGGACAGCAGCTTAGATAGGTGGAGTAGACAAAACAGAATGCTGGAAGAAAGGAGGCAGAGACAGAGAGAGCCACCTGCCATGACGCTGCCAGGTCAGACATGCTGAATCTTTCCCGGTAAGCCACGAGCTCATGGTGACATACAAATTATTAGAAATGGGCTGAATCAAGATGTGAGAGTTAACTAATAAGAGGCTAGGACTAATGAGTCAGGCAGTGTTTAAATGGATACAATTTGTGTGTTGTTATTTAGGGGTATAAGCTAGCCAGGCAGCTGGGAGCTGGGTAGAGGGAAGCGGCCAGCTGCTCGCTCCTTTTACAACAGGCTTACTCTAAAAGGAAATGCATATCTGGAGCAGACCTTGTGGAACAAGCCTGCAATCCAAGTTACGAAAGAGACTGAGACAGAAAGTTCATAAGTTCAACACCAGTGTAGGCTACGTAGTGAGGTTCAGGCCTGGGCAACTTCATCCTGTTCAAAACAAAAGGTAAAAGAGAGAGTCTGGGATTCAGGGTGGTGAGGGTAGGGGTTCAAGCCCCAGGACTGCATAAACAAGCTGATGCCTGAGAGAAGGGGGCAAGGACGTCCCAGTTCAGCTGGCTCTGATTCCCACCTGTGCTGCAGCACCCTTGATGTTTATGGTAGCTAGTCCTAAGGCTGTGTGCTCATTCCTTCCCTAGCTGGTTTTGAAATAAAACCCTTCTGGGGATGGGGACAGTTCAGGGGTTTAGAGCACTTCCAGGGGACCCAAGTTCAGTTCCCAGGACCCACATCAGGTGGTTCACACCAAGTGTAACTCCAGCTCCGGGTAATTAATGGCTGTTCTGACCTCTGCAGGGTCTCACACACATAGGGTACTGATGGAGGAAGGTCATTGGTTAAATAAAAAGAAACTGCTTGGCTCTCATTGGTTAGAGATAGGTGGGAGGAGTAAACAGAACAGAACGCTGGGAGGAAGAGGAAGTGAGCTCAGACTCCACAGCTCTCCTCTCGGGAGCGGACGCCTCAGAGAGACGCCATGCTCCTGGCTCCTGGGCAGACGCACACGATGAAGCAAGCCGCCAGGTTAGACATGCTGAACCTTTCCCGGTAAGACCGGTGCTCACAGTTTATTAGAGATGGGTTGATCGGGATATCAGAATTAGCCAGTAAGGGCTAGAGCTAAAGGGCCAAGCAGTGTTTAAATGAATACAGTTTGTGTGTTGTTATTCCGGAGCATAAGCTAGCCAGGCTGCCGGGGTGCTGGGGATGCAGCCCCGCCGCCCTAATTACTACAGGGTACGTACACACACACACACACACACACACACACACACACACACACACACACACGGTGAAAGAGAGAGAGAAATACACATACATAAATAAAAATTAATCTTGGTGCTGGAGAGATGGGAACCAGATAAGAGCACTGCGGCTCTTGTGGAGGAGTCGGGTTCAGTTCCCAGCAGCCATATCAGGTGGCTCACAGCCACCTGTAACTTAGGTGGCTTC